CTGGGATATCTAGTTCACGATAACAATAAATAAACATCTACATATACATTGAAAAAGATACATAATGTCAAATGTGGAGAGCAGCCATGACAGTACTTCTCTGTTATATCCCGTCCATGTGATAAGTCAGGCAGATTGGGAAGGTTTCACTGTGATAACTGATTGGCAGCAAATATATTTGGTCATTTCCTTCACACAAAAATGAAATATAAAGGCGCGAAAGTAATATATTCTTACCTCACATTTGCTCCACGTAATCCAACGAATTACCATGACAACGTCATGTGACCAAGCATTTGATCAGCTCGGTTTGCTTCGTTGAAAACTAGGTAACCTGTGTGTCTTTACAAACAGTTCATAAAATATTATTTTCGTTGACAAATACCGATACATTTTAGCATTGGAAAACATAATGGTTATAACAGTTCATATACACAGGCCCTTGGCACTAATGTAATGCTAATCAACTCAATGTTCACCACTTGTGCCAATAAAAAAAATACACAGCTTCATCTTTCACCTGCGCTAGGCGACGGAAATGGTTTAAATCCCGAGTGGTTGTTTTCGGCTTTCACGATGATGTATCTATTTTTCCTACTAATGTATTTACCTAATATGGAACCCCTTTCCCTGGTGGTGAGTCGTATAACAGATATTGTGGGAGTTAACTCATAGCCGAAATAGAATGATAACTCAAACAGTTCATGTGTCTCAGTTGATTTTATTTTCAAGGGCTTGATCTCAGTATTACGATTTTCATAAGAGATGCTGGAAACTGACAACTCGGGATTTTGAAAGATGCAAGATGATTAAGACGGAGAGAAAGTTTTACGGTCGTCATAATTATGTAAGTGGGAAATAACCTATTTCTTCATATGTAATGAAAGGGATGAAGTTTGATGTATGATTTTCGTCAGAAAACCTGTCGGTTTCATTATTGTTTACCGTATCCTCTTTTTGGGAACATGGCATTACGTACTTGGATTGACCAAGACTTGCATGTCGGCGATGAAAATGAAGACGTATACTCTTCGGGAACCCCTGGTCTTGTTCTCTTTGTATTTTATTCAGGAAAGTCTGTGTAAGTCGTCTTTATTCATATCTTGTAGTTTTATTGAATTTGAGCTCGGGTTATTGATGGCACGTTGATATTATTCCGTTCTTATTGAAATCGCTCTTTACATGCTAATCCATTTCCATTTACTTTTTATGAGGATGATGCACTATTAAACGTCCAAATAGAGAAGCGAATGGCACACTACCGTTTTGAAAATCAATAAAATAAATTATGAGTATTCTGTCCACTCCGCTTCCCTACCATTCACATTTTAATTGGTTTAATAAATCTGTTGACAACAGAGCAATGGTAAATTCAATGTGATTAAAATGAACTTTCATGTAATTCGGTGAATTACGTTTACAATTTGTGGGGAGGGCAATACCAGTGAAAGATGTCAAATCTTAACCAATTGATATTAACACACCAAGACAATGATTGTCTCTCACAGGTCTTACGAACGAACAGATCGATACAACTATTTCAAAAAATGAATTTATCAAAAACTGCAGATAAAGAAAGGAATGAATAGTGTAGTGGTTCACACATAGATATGACACTAATTTTCTCACATATTATAGTGATTGGAAGACGAGAATGAAGAAAATGACGGAAATGGCATTCTGGCAAAAGTGAAGCTGACGCGTACTGCTATTTTTCAAGATATACATAGTTTGAGCTGTTAATTTACTTTGAACATTCTTTTCTTCATAGATTATCACAAAAGTGAAAGATCTTTTACATTCGTTGTGTTGGTACTTATTTACGTCCCTCAAGCCGTTGTAGAATTAACCCTAAATTATTCGGACAGAGCAACATTTAGTTTTCATTTCAAACCTACAGAACTGTAACTCAGGACAACAATACTTACGTTAAGGAATCTCGACATAATATACAGTCTTTTCATCCGTCATTGTTATAAGTTAATGTATTCGAAATGATAACTGAATAAGACAAAGGGTGGTGATAGGGGTGTGCATTATTTGTAGTTATTTCAGTGGATTTACGATAAACGACATTATCCTTAGAATCAATTTGAGCGAAATAGCAATATTGCACAATCGTATTTTTTGCATGAGAAATTTGATTTCGACTACAAATGCAAAATCAAATTCAATCAAGGTTAATTCATTAAATGGGAGGGGGACATTGAGAAAAGTATAATATACTCACCATTAACTATGTTAAAATGGTTTTGACACGATGATCCTGAATAACAGATTTCAGTGATTCCATTTTCGGAATATTTAAGGTTTTTATAGGAAATTCTAACGTGGAGCGATATCTAGTTAAAAGTGTGATAAAATATGACAACAGACATGGCTTATCATTGTTATCATGTAACATAATTATCACAACAAAGCCTTTGTTAGTTGACTAGCTCAAATTAACCTCTGCTCTAGGAAGACTTTCCGAGAGATTGAGAGTTTTTCCTTCACCAAACTATAAAATGCTGCTTTTACAAAATAATTTGGATGGAGCATAATGTTTCATTAACGCTAATACTCGTTGCCGCCAGAGGAATTGGTGTGACACTTTCTGGGGGAAGTTCAACTCCACACCAATGTAGGATTTATATAGCCCACCCATGGATATATATATATACAGATAAAATATCATTATAAATATATTTACACTTAGACTCGAGCGGCTGAGAAGAACAGCCAGAGTGCATTGGAGTTAATCTTCAGTTAAATATTCCTGCTGAGTCGAGAGATACATTTTACACGCAAAAATACAAGTTCTTACGTATGATGGCGTTTAATACACTGCCGAAAGCAAAGAACCGATTTCATCGTGAATTATTGAAGCTGAAGGAATATGAGATGAGATGAGATGGGTCAATTTTTACATCTAACCTATGTTAAGGAATCGCTCCATACTTGAAAAACACCAATATATTATATCTGAAGTATAAATTATAAAACCGCTCGTAAAACAAGATAAGAATTGTTCCTGCTTGAAAAGTAGGCAGAAAAGTTTTGTTACAATTTATTTTGTCGGATGAAATCTATGTTGCTTTTGAACGGAAGGTCAGACGTCCCGTAGTTTTATATCTATAACAGGTGCCCAGTTAAAGAGAGGGACACGTGATAGCTGTAAGTTATATATAAACAGCAATTACGGTGATAGTCGTTTGCACGTACATTTCATGTAAAGCAGAAACACATACATGACGTAAACACTGTTATAGACCACAGGCGGTTTTTGGTCTGGCCCTGCAATACCAGTTGGAGTAAATTAACCAATAGTCTGTAGTTAACAGAGGGGAATAAGTGTACTTTGGTTAAATCGCCCGTAGTTTCAACCTTACACTTAAACTATTATCAAAGACATTATGTTTTTTGTTCCCTCTGGTTATGTCTGTGTGTAAGTTAATCTTTCCATTCAGGATCATGATACTCTACATCGGAAACAGAATATACAATAACTGTATATTGATACGCTTGTGACAAACACTTGAACATGAAAAAAAAATGAGAGTGGTAGATGTTTCATCTATGACCGGCAATACTATGGTGTAATATACATAAAGAATAATCATCGGCAGCAGATAGTATAGTATACTAATGGTGTTGTTAAATAATACTGATGTTGAACCAACATCCCTTCAGTCATGTATACCGCATCATCTACGACTGTAATACTGGTAAGACGTAAGTCATCAGTTGGCTCCACTTAAAAGTGCCATAGCAAAATTGTCAAACTCTACGGTCATTAATGTATATAATTAATTGTTATAAGTATCTTCATAGCATGTATAGCCTTGGTCTTAAATATGTAATAAGCATTCACATACATACGAATCATGAAGTGAAATATTTGTTTCATTCCAAATTGGATTGACAACTAATTAAATGTATTCGCTTTATACTAATGATACCTCCTTGTCCCTTTTTGTGTTTGGTATATAATGCTGACTCTTATTGGGGTGTCTGCCATTACGAATTAATTGTTTAATAGGTTGTCTCCCCTTGTGCGTTAGTTTTTTTCTATTTCCGGCTACTACCGTACTGATATGATACATGAAAACAAGATACCGTGTCTTTTGTGTTTGTGTATCGTCTACAATCTTTTTTTTAAATTAAACACGCCTCACATCTATCTGAAAAAACAGATGTATTCTTTGAAAACACGTAGTTTAATTGTATTTCGTCATAACAAGTCTCTTACCGGTAATGTTAATAATTGTCATATGACATAATTCTGTGATTGTTTTCAGAATGCGTAGGTCGTTTCGCCCCACGTTTAAATAAGTTGCTACAGGCAATATGAAAATTGTATATGTAAATAATGAATCATGTTTCTGTATTACAGGAGTTTTCAAAAACATTTACTGTTTTTCTGTAAAGAATCCCACAACTAAACAGTATAACTATGATGGAGGTAATTATTAAACAAGATAACCAGAATACTAAATTCAACGACATATTGCTATACAATAGGACTATTTCTGTATTCGGTATCTAATTATTTTCTGATATAGATAACTCGGCCTGGCCTTTTTGACACTTGATAACGTCGAGTGCTATCGACATGATCAGCCATATAGCATCAAATACACATTCTGATACACTGGCGCGGAATCACCACATCATAACATCAGGGATCCAACTGTTAAATATTTGATAGGGCCCGACGCCTCCCTCCAATAGGTACACATACAGTGATGGTTAATGGACTGTCATCCCTGTACTATCAACAAATCTGTTTATAGTCAACCGCGCTTCATTTAACACAGGTATACTAATACAGATATATATATATAACCCGACTAATTTAATTTTCGTGGAAAAAACACAAACCAGTAACATCATATATCGATGTTTGAACACGTGTTACAAAAAGATATATAGATTACGTATTCGTTTTACCTGTACATACCTGTTGTCCAGTACACAGGTAAATCATATATCTTATTTCTCCGTTTTTGAAGACTTACCTGCATTTAAGATGAAGCTTTGTTTATCTGATTCAGGTACCACCAGATATATTTGGCAGGCTAGTAACAATATCGCTACGCCTACCCGTCTTAGTGCTGTAATAGTGAGATCCATTTTTTCTGTACTACAACACTTTTTTATAACACAAGGCACAAAGTAACTCTGTCATAAATAGGTGTGTCTCTGTCACAGCATCACTTAATGATGGTTTGTTCCCCCATCTTGTCCGGGTACCGGGGTTTCACAACTCATATGTGCTTATATCCGCGACTTGTGAATGTCAGCCAAACAGTTGTATGTAACAGGCTCATAACTCTCCATGTTGCGATGAGGCCTATCGTACGGAGCTAGCTGCTGTTCGCGCGGCCTTAGTGTCGTACACACGCGCAGTTGCTGATGTTAGATGGACTGGGACGAGAGTCGGATGGATGATAGAGGAGTGAAGTGGTCGATAATTGTTTCAAGCTATTAAAACATTAGTATAAGTCATGTACGTCCATTTCACAACACACGACCAATACGATTCTGACAGACAAGTATCTATATGAGGCAAATTAGCACGCTGGTATTGTCTAATTGGAACGTTTTCTTTGATATTCCTATTACAGTAATGGGGTATATATTTGGAAAGTGTAAGATTTACATTTACGAAGAATATATATTGACATTTAAATACAGCTATACAGATATACATATATATATATATATATATATATATAATTATTTATATTGCTGTGTGCCGCATACTAGTACGTGACATAATAGTAGTAGAAGCATGGCCTTGAAGAAGAAACAGGCTGATACAGAGATTTGACAATCATTTTCAGGCCAAACCTTAGGCGATTATATTTATATCACAGAAGAACTTAACACGGTGAATTCCATCTAGTTTCCTGATATACGTAACACTTCCAGTCATATATTTTAACACTGTAACAATCTTTTTAATCTACAGAAATACATCCAAGTTATTTTTATAAACAATTCAATATCTAGTTAGTTTTTCAAATAACAGCTATTCACGGGTGAAATATTCTGCTCCGTCTCGCGTGGGTAAATGTGTAGCGTGCCATTCAATGGAATCATCTGGGGATTACTGAATGAAAATTGTTACTTATTTTATTTATATGAATGTTCGTGATACTGTGATCATTTCATCTGACTCCAACCTACGTTAATGAGGTATGCATGTCTTCAATAACAAGGTGCCAAATTTGGACGATCTAAATTATCCTTTGACATGGGACTGACTAGGTAAATTAATAGACTGAACACCTAAAAGCTACATAAGGATTGATAAATTGTCATCAGTAATAATCGGTTTGAAATAATGTTAAAATGTGGATTAAAATTGTCATATCAGTTGCTAGGGACATCTAAATTTTAGTTTTAATTAAAAACAAAATCATATAAGTTTGTGATGTAACAGTATCTTTGCATTTTCAGTCAGGTTACGAAAGCTGATCTAGCTATTAGTAAATACGGTCAACATTGGTAGTTGCATGACATCTTCCTTACGTAATAAACATGCAAGACAGGCATGTTTTTACCATTGCGTGACATTCTTACGATGTTACGTTATCAAAGTCAGATGTGTGTTATCAGCTCATGAACTGCCAACGGCCTAGGAAAATTGCAAATAATGTAAACACATTGAGGGTTTTTCCCTTCATTACAAGGAGAAAATTGGAGATAATAAATGTAAGCATTGAACTGGTTACATTTGGCATTTATGGATATATGAATGCCATGAGGACAATAACAAGTAGCACAAGATGTGTTGGGTCAAATATATCAAAGGTACAATAAGCATATCTAAGAACAAATGTTCAATTAGCAAGATAGTATGCATTCCATAGCTGTTACAGAAGAAAGATTATTCTTGTGAATTTACGTTGTACAAAACGTACCAACTGAGTGAGATCGTTTCGAATGAAGTCACCGGAAAATTATATCAAACAGGATATTTATTGACTACGTAACTCGGATATATCTACCAGAATTGAAGACGTATACTTGAAATTTACCAACAACGAACTTATTGGGGAGAGTTTCTTCAACCAAAGGTTGTTAAAATGTCACATTAGTTTCGATTTTCAAGAATTGGTCCAAATTATCATAAAATCCCATGAAAAATATCGACAGGTAGCGTATGGACTTACAACATTTGGTTTTATGAGAGACAGGTCGATAAAGGCTGGGGAATTCTTTGGTCGCCATTGTGATCTTTTTTGGACAGATTCTGTTACATAGTTTACCTTTGGCGATATGTAGCTAGCTGTGTTCGGCGTTCGTCGAGTGGTTACGGTTTTACGAACCTGTCATTTGAAAATGTGCCATTACTGGTTTCTAGAACACCTGGTCATATTCTGCTCCTAGAGAGCCGGCTTATTTCATCTGTTCATATTTCTCCCTCATAGTAACGGTTTTGGATATTAATTATGATTTTGTTAAAATGTCTGTATTTTCCTGTATCCCTTGACCACCTGAAAGCAGATGAATCCAACATTCAGTTTTTTTTCTAATTTCAGAATGTCTGCTTGTGATATATGACGTGAATAATGCTTTACATTCAAATAACTAAACATGGAAATAGTCCATACATGTGAGCATACATGCGCATGTGTTCACGTGCAAAAGCACGTTCACCCTCAAATCCACACGCACCCTCGCGCACGCATGGAGGCAGGCGCGTTCATTCGCACGTTCATACATCACGTACGGCAAAGTATTTACACCGTTCACATTGAATACTACAAATAATAACACCGATCACTTAATTCGCCAATCTATTTTTCTAATTTGCATGATTTCAGTGACAGATAAATTAACTGATATGTTTAATGGCTGCCCCGCTGTGGTTCTAGACATATGCCCACCACTTCCAGGCAATACATAGCGTTAATAAATAGTTCATACAGATATACGTGTTAGAATGTTGATCACACATTGTTTCTTGGTTACGATAATTTTCCTGACGCTCTCCAGTCAATTAGACCTCTTATGACAATCATAACTGTGACAACTGACTGCTTGATTATATTGTACAGGTGGAAAACTATTTCACTGTTCAGGAGACGTCGTGTTCTAACAGGAAAACCTAAAAAAAAAAGGACCCACGGGTTTCAAAAGCTTAGCATTATATTAAATAACTAAATCAACAGTGTTTACATAAGATATTTATCTTTTAAAAAGAGAATACAAGAAAATGATTTAAGATGTTATAGTTATGTATGATCTTAAATAATATCGATGATAAACATGGTGTATCTCATTTTAATTAAAATACAATTTTCGGAATGTTCTCAAAGGCAAAACAGACGACACACCCATAACAAAACCGACATTTAAATCGCATATGGAATTATCCTTCGAAATTTGGTCACGGCAAGGAACTTTTACTCACGAGTCCTTACAGCTGTACATCTGGATAATCAGTTTGTCGAGTAAAACGATGTTTTACTCTGATCTGAGGTATGACGTGAGAATGACTACATATTGTACCGGATTGTCTACGTACATAGACTACAAATACATAAATCCTATACACTTCGTTGGATAGAAAATATTATACGGCATATTTCTATGGATTAATAACAATCGACTTAATTAAACTTTCCGTCCTTGTAAACAAAGGTGAGGATTGTTATATCATGCGAAACAAGCGGTGATAGCTTTTGATCGGTTCATGGATTTCTCTGAGAGTTTATTTGTTGAACATGTTTCTGGACAATTAAGTGCTCTCCCAAACGTAATTATGTAAACCTAGACATCTTTTCAGCATAAAGGAACATGGCGATTCGCTTGAAAACCTGACAAAACGCAAAATACACATGGCATACATTACATTTTTATCGGAATTGAATTTAATCAATATTGTATGAATGTGTCTGTGTAAATTTTACGGTTTGGTAGCATTTGCGGTCTATCTAATGGGGATGTTATATCAAAGATCCTACTTTATAAAATGGATGATTGTTCACGGCATGGTGTCTACATCTTCAATAGTTTATTGTCAGATTCGCTGGAGTGTGACTGCCTACACAAATAATCATGCTCTCATCATTAAACGCACTGATGACTCATCAATTGCTAGAATATTTAAATATTCAATGTTTATTTTACCGTTTTGTGTCTTTCAAGCTTTACTAAGCTATACATGGGCCTGGGAATACATATTGTGAAACAATTGTTGTCATTCGTGAGAAACAACCGTTGTTGTTATTGTTTCATTTCAGGAACTACATGTAACAGCTATACGATGTAGTTAATTCATCATCCGACAGATATTTGATGTAATTAGTAAAACTGTATGGAAAGGCACTATTCACTTACTGTCGTACCAGTGTACCATTAAAACGTGTACCTAGAACTATAAAATAAGTAGCGTCAATTGTTTACCAGTAAAAAACCATGTACCTAGGGCTATAGAATACATAGTGACAATTGTTTACCAGTAAAACCATGTACTTAGGACTATAGAAAACGTAGTGTCAAGGACTATAGAAAACGTAGTGTCAATTGTTTACCAGTAAAACCATGTACCTAGGACTATTGAATAAGTAGTGTCAATTGTTTACCAGTAAAAAACCATGTACCTAGGGCTATGAAATAAGTAGTGTCAATTGTTTACCAGTAAAACCATGTACCTAGGGCTATTGAATACGAAGCGTCAATTGTTTACCAGTAAAACCATGTACCTAGGACTATTGAATAAGTAGCGTCAATTGTTTACCAGTAAAACCATGTACCTAGGACTATTGAATACGTAGTGTCAATTGTTTACCAGTAAAACCATGTACCTAGGACTATAGAATAAGTAGTGTCAATTGTTTACCAGTAAAACCATGTACCTAGGACTATAGAATAAGTAGCGTCAATTGTTTACCAGTAAAACCATGTACCTAGGACTATAAAAAACGCAGTGTCAATTGTTTACCAGTAAAACCATGTACCTAGGACTATCCGTCTAACATACGCCTTTATATCATATCAGTTAACAAGTAAATATATTAATTAGAGATCTGAAATAAGTGTCTTTATAATACGGAATTCATTGAACGAGTTCAATCACCACATCGGCACAAGTATAAGATTCTATTTATCATACAGCC